ATCGGGCTTATATTATTTTAAACGTCTGGTTGTTTAACGCAGTTAAACAACGGGCAAACTACATGAAAAGCACAAAAGTATTTACATGTCTTATTCGCCAGGGGTGGTTTTGCTGCGAGTACATATTATGAGCTTTATATATAATAGTTTTCATTCAATTTCGCCCCGCCTTTGTGGCTCAGTGGTAGAGCATCTGTCTTGTAAACAGAAGGTCCCCGGTTCAATCCCGGGCGGAGGCACTTCTCGCGAGGCCCACCCTTTTTGAATCGCTAGGATTTTTCATCTAACGTTCGTCTACTGTCAGTTGTGGTTGGTTTCTCTTTTGCCCTTCTGCGAAGTCGAATGACCTGATGGACGCTCGTGCTGCGCTTTTTGAAGAGCCATGCAATTCGCTTGGCGACGTCAGTCGCCTTCGTAGTTTCATTTGAAACAACTGATTGGTTGAGTGCTTAATCTATAGCCAATCAGTGGCGAGTATTCTGAGAGCATTGAATACAATTGGCTCAGTTTCGAATTCACCTTGCCATGAACGTCCTCGTGCTCGGCGGCACGGGTCCTCTCGGGCTATGCCTTCTCAATCAACTCGTGGAAGCTAAGACCAACCCTGACTTCCCTGCCAAGTTGGATGTCATCACCGCTGTAGTTCGCCCGGCCTCCAAGGACAAGATCGGCCAAGATACCCTCGCTGGAGTCAAAGTCATCGAAGGAAACCTCCTGGACGAAACCACGCTGACTCAAGCGTTGGACAACCAAAACGTCATCATTGTGGCTGTTGGTCATGGATCGGTGTGCCATGAGAGCCAAAAACTGTTGAACGCCCACGCAGCGACTTCCCAGGCGCACCGCGTCGTCGTCGTGACGTCCCTCGGCACGAACGAATCATACGACGAATGCAATTTCTTCACCAAGACGCTCGTGAGCACAGTTTTGCGTACGGAAATTGGCCACAAGAAGATCCAGGAAGACTTGTTGCGGTCGGGGCCGTTTAGCTCGTCGGACACGAAGGATTTCGTGTTGGTTCGGCCAGCCGGACTCACCGGACCAGAGGTCACGGGCGTGTACACTGCCGCAGAACACGGCGTTGCCGGCGGTCGGATCACGCGCGGCAACGTCGCGCACTTCATTGTGAATGAGCTCTTGTCTGGCAAAAAGGGCGACAAATACTCCAACAAATCATTCCAATTGGCCTAGTCCTAATACCGAACTACAGGTGCAGAACAACCAAATGTCCTTGTGTTCTCCCTAGTTCTACACTGCAACAGGAATGTGTCGATGCTTTGTTAAGTGAGCCAGATGTACTATTCGTAGACATATACATGCCAACACTGTAAACGTACACACATGTTGTAACGTAGATGGCCAGTTTATGGTGTACTTGACAGAGACTTCGTTGTAGAATGCAGCTTACTCGTCTCCCAGGACGGGGATTTCAATTCTGAAAAGTGCTGCATGAAGCCGAAAGGTTGGGCATTCTTCTCATTATTTAATCGGCTTGAATAGACTTCAGCTTGGCGTTCATTTACTTAGATTCCACTCAAGTCAAGGCAAAAAAGGAAGGACAGTTTATGGTGCACGGTTTAAGCTTAAAATATGTATGCTGTTTTTGCGTAGGTTTTAGTGATTTCATTTTTCTAATGATTCGATTGGCTACTCCAAAATTCAAGCAATTCCATTGGCCAATTTGAGTGTACCTTAAACTGCCCCGTGCACCATAAACTGGCCATCTACGTTGCGTGGCAAACAGGTCGAAGAAGATATGAAGCGTCCTTGTATTGAATAGCTACCGTATGCAAACAATCGACGGAGAATTAGACACGCTTGTCTCCATTCCACTTGTAAAAGCCTTGACCAGCCTTACGTCCCAACTTGCCATCTTGGACCTAATTCGTGCGATGAAAATGTCAAAATTTAGCCCAATTTTCATCTCGTTTTGGCTAAAACAAGGTGTGCTGATTGATATTTTTCGTACCATTTGCTTCAAAATTGTGGGCACGACAAACGACGGTTCGGTTGGATACTTTTGGACCCAGCCTTCCAAAATGAACAGAATCGTGTCCAGCCCAATGTAATCGGCCAGCGTGATCGGGCCCATGGGGTGTCCCGCGCCCAGTTGCATGCTGATGTCGATGTCTTCCATGGACGCGTCGCCGCGCTCGAGAAGCTGCAGCGCTTGGACCAAGTTCGGGACCAGCAATCTAATGGTCCCATGTCACACGCGGCCGTTCTTGACATGTGCTTACCGGTTAACAATGAACCCAGGGGTGTCCTTGCAGCTCACGGGGGTCTTCCCGACCGACACGGCCCAGCGCTTGGCCACGTCAAACACGTTTGGGTCCGTCAAGTCAGTCTTGACAACTTCCACGAGCTTCATCAGTTGTACGGGGTTGAAGAAATGAAGCCCCACGACCTTGTCGGCGCGGCCAGAGCTACCGGCGAAGTCGCCGATGGGAAGGGACGACGTGTTGGACGCTAAGATGCCAGAAGGCTTGACGATTTGACCCAGTTCTTTGTAAAACGACTTTTTGATGTCCATGTCTTCGATAATCGCCTACAAGAAGCGAACATGAGTACATTGTTTTGGAGAGCAGAGAGGTGCATGAGAAGGACGAACCTCAATCACCAAATCACATGGCGCCAAGTCTTTCTTGTCGATCGTGCCGTGAATGCGACCCATGATCGAAGCAAATAGATCCTTCGCTTGATCCTCCGTCATATCGCCCTTCTTGATTTGACGCGCATGGATCTTCTCCAAGGATCCTTCGATGCGTTTTAACCCTGCATCCAGCCCCTTTTGGTTCGTATCCACCGCGATAACGTCGTATCCTGCTGTGGCGGCCGTCTGAGCAATACCGTGGCCCATCAAGCCCATGCCAACCATACCCACGCGGGTGATTTCAGGGATCGTCTTGGATGAGAACGCGCGACGGGCAACCTGCTGCATGATGGACGACTGCTTGATTCAAAACTGAACAATGGACGACTATATCCTCGAGAAGGAATTACCACAGGATATGTAATTCTGAACATCCATCCTAATATTAGGCTTATCGTGAAATTAGGACCAAAGGCAGTATAATTAGACATGTTTTTGACTGCGAATCCGATTTCGAGAAAATATAAATCGGTCCATCCGACGCTTAATATTTGCATCCGGATACCAATTTGAAGTTGGGTGTTGACACAACGTTGACTCGACCTCCGACAAAGGTCTGGGCTTATCTTAAGAGCACTTAAAAGGTTTCCCACGTGCTAGGAGGTGCGGCGGGCTGCGTGGCCGTGGGAGAGCCAAAGGACGAGAACACTCCAAAGTTGTCGCTTTGCTTGGACGCCGCAGGCGCGGCCAACGGCTGCACTGGCGCCGGGTTGCCGTCCGAGTCCTTTTCTTTCTTGTTGAGTTTGATCTTGATCGTTTGGCCTTGTTTGAGGGAAAAGTCTTTGGAAACCGTGGGATTGGTCACGGCCTCGGTGGCTGCGTGTTCTTCGCGCTTTACCTCGCTACCATGAAGAAGTAAGTCACATCATAATGATGCTATGTCATCGTTTTGGTACTTTTGATGGTCATCGATGGCCACGTTGAAGTCAAACGCGTCGTTTCGATCTTCGAACGCAATACCGATAAACGCATGACGTCCTATGCACAAATTCACGTCATCACGTCCAGATTTCGACAACACGATGGCGACATACCGGATTTCGGATCCACAAGTCGCAAGACAAAGTAGCGACTGCTGTCCACAACTACATTGGCAATAGAGGTCAGTGAATCCTTGGCGCAAAGGAAGGAGGATCGGTCATATACCTTTCGTGACGGCTGGCGGGCCATCCTTTGAAATGGGGCACGCAGCAAAGAGCGCACCTAACACCGAGGACTGGTGTTCGAAAGTGATGCGAGAATGCCGTATCGTACCAGTCTTGGGGTCTCGCAGCTGGATCTGGGTCGCATCGTTGATTGAAGAAATGACCAAACGACCAGTCCACACAGGATCTTTCGGCCACGAGTCCGCTCTACGACACATGAGATATTGCGCATGGAGGTTTTGCGCCGTACCGATGTCCCGCCGCAGACGATTGAGGGGGGATTTTAAAGGCAAACACTTGGTTGATCACCTTCAGCACACGTTCAATCGCTTCGTCTACACACATCATACTCGTCATGCCTGCCTTGCACGCATGCCTTTAGCTTTACCAGCCATGACGGTTGCCGGTTCTCCAACACTGAGTGAGAGTTTGGATTTCGTCGAAAGTGTAACGGATAACGTTGGCCGTTATTGAAGTACAGATGTACCATTCCTTTATCCGAACTACTATATCTTTATCCGAACAATAAAACGGCCAATCGCACGCGACGTCTGCATTTCGTCATTGACAAAGATCGCCACATTCACTGTCAACTTGCTCACTTCCAAACTTCCCATCGAGACCTCATGTCTGACTTCACGACGCTCCAAGTGCACGCCGGCCACGAAGGCGGCGAGCCCGGCTCCCGCGCGCGCGCCGTGCCCATCGTCGCGTCGACGTCGTTCCTGTTCGACAACGCCGACCACGCCGGCAAACTGTTTGGCCTGCAAGAGTTCGGCAACATCTACTCGCGCATCATGAACCCCACCAACGACGTGTTCGAGAAGCGTGTGACGGCGCTGTCCGGTGGCGTGGCGTCCGTTGCCGTGAGCTCGGGCCAAGCCGCGCAAGCACTGACGATTTTCACGATCGCGCAGGCCGGCGACAACATCGTGTCCACGTCGTCGTTGTACGGCGGCACGTACAACCAGTTCAAGGTGGCGTTCCCGCGCCTAGGTATCAACGTCAAGTTCGCCAACCACGCCGACCCCGCCTCGATCCGCGCGCTCATCGACGACAAGACCAAGGCCATCTACGTCGAGACGATCGGCAACCCCGAGCTGGATGTGCCGGACTTTGAGGCCATCTCGGCCATCGCCAAGGAGCACGACATCCCGTTCATCGTGGACGACACGTTCGGCGCAAGCGGATACCTCGTGAACCCGATCAAGCACGGCGCGGACATCGTCGTTCAGAGCGCGACCAAGTGGATCGGCGGCCACGGCACGTCCATCGGCGGCGTGGTCACGGACGCCGGCACGTTCAACTGGGGTAACGGCAAGTTCCCGATGATGTCGGAGCCCAGTCCGGGGTACCACGGGTTGAACTTTTGGAAGGTGTTTGGTCCCGGTGGCGTGCTCGGCGCGAACGCGACGTTTGCGATCCGGCTGCGCGTGGAGAGCCTGCGCGACTTTGGGTCGTGCTTGAGTCCGTTCAACTCGTTCCTGCTCATCCAGGGCCTCGAGACGCTCAGTTTGCGCGTGGATCGCGCCTCGGACAACGCGCTGGCGCTGGCGCAGTGGCTGGAGTCGCACCCCAAGGTCGATTGGGTGTCGTACCCGGGCCTGCCGTCGCACCGATCGTACGAGAACGCGAAGAAGTACTTGTACCGCCAGAAGTACGGCGCCGTACTGACGTTTGGCGTCAAGGGCGGGCTCGAAGCCGGTCGGTCGTTCATCAACAGCGTCAAGCTGGCCAGTCATTTGGCCAACGTCGGCGATTCCAAGACGTTGGTGATCCACCCCGCGAGCACCACCCACCAGCAGTTGGTCGAAGAAGAGCAATCGGCTACTGGTGTGAGGCCGGATATGGTCCGAGTGTCTGTGGGCATCGAGCACATTGATGACATCAAGGCCGACTTGGACCAAGCGTTGGCTGTGTTTGGCAAGAAGTAGGGCAATTGAGTGCCGACATTGTATCTACTAACTGACCCAGTACATACCGGTATGAACCGATGACTCATGGATATCGATCGAATATTAGTAGCTAAGGTCGTTGGGGTGGATATATAGGGAGCATTTCAATGCCCTTGATCATACTAGAGAAACAGGAGTTTCAAACTTTACTGTAATGACAGTTTGCATAACGTTACATGTATACTACTGTAGTACTACGTAGTAGCATGTAGTACTAGCACATGGAGGTTGGGTGAATTATATTGGCGATTCGGTGAAATATATCAGAGGTTAGTGGTAATATTTTGAAAAAAAGCTGAAATTATACGCAAAATGGTGTAGTACTGACAGTACCATTGTACAGTACCAATAGCAAATCCTTGTTATTGCACGTTAACCGTACTAGTATGAACAACGGCTGCATGAACAACTAACGCTAGTGCCCGTTTGAATGTGTCGTGTGCCCAGAGAAAATGTATGGCATTCCTATGTGTACGTAGTAGGTAGGGTTGCTTTCACTGAGCGTTTGGTGAAGTAGTTGAAGTTGGCAGGAAACCGGTATGCTTTGTTTAAGTTCGTTGAAGGTGGTCGAAATTTACACTTGAATAAAGGATACTATTTTCGCGCGCTTTTTTCGAAGTGTTGAAAATAGAGCTCACTTTTCGATTTCGTTGGAGGAACGCACTACAGTACAGTACGCATCCGTGGACACTTCTGCGCCGCCGCGAAATCTGGTAAGTTCGCGGTCTTCTACATTGGTATCTTGTAAGTAGGATGACTTTATTCAAGTACATAGGTAAGGTGGAGGGATAACAAACTATTTCTAACAATCGACGGCCCCGCGCTACTTCGACCGTAGGGATCTCAGGACTCGCATACTAAACACAAGACTTAAGCTTGGACAGGAACTTCGGTCTTGCCAAAAACAGCCAACGCTTGATCCAAGTCGGCCTTGATGTCATCAATGTGCTCGATGCCCACAGACACTCGGACCATATCCGGCTTCACACCAGTAGCCGATTGCTCTTCTTCGACCAACTGCTGGTGGGTGGTGCTCGCGGGGTGGATCACCAACGTCTTGGAATCGCCGACGTTGGCCAAATGACTGGCCAGCTTGACGCTGTTGATGAACGACCGACCGGCTTCGAGCCCGCCCTTGACGCCAAACGTCAGTACGGCGCCGTACTTCTGGCGGTACAAGTACTTCTTCGCGTTCTCGTACGATCGGTGCGACGGCAGGCCCGGGTACGACACCCAATCGACCTTGGGGTGCGACTCCAGCCACTGCGCCAGCGCCAGCGCGTTGTCCGAGGCGCGATCCACGCGCAAACTGAGCGTCTCGAGGCCCTGGATGAGCAGGAACGAGTTGAACGGACTCAAGCACGACCCAAAGTCGCGCAGGCTCTCCACGCGCAGCCGGATCGCAAACGTCGCGTTCGCGCCGAGCACGCCACCGGGACCAAACACCTTCCAAAAGTTCAACCCGTGGTACCCCGGACTGGGCTCCGACATCATCGGGAACTTGCCGTTACCCCAGTTGAACGTGCCGGCGTCCGTGACCACGCCGCCGATGGACGTGCCGTGGCCGCCGATCCACTTGGTCGCGCTCTGAACGACGATGTCCGCGCCGTGCTTGATCGGGTTCACGAGGTATCCGCTTGCGCCGAACGTGTCGTCCACGATGAACGGGATGTCGTGCTCCTTGGCGATGGCCGAGATGGCCTCAAAGTCCGGCACATCCAGCTCGGGGTTGCCGATCGTCTCGACGTAGATGGCCTTGGTCTTGTCGTCGATGAGCGCGCGGATCGAGGCGGGGTCGGCGTGGTTGGCGAACTTGACGTTGATACCTAGGCGCGGGAACGCCACCTTGAACTGGTTGTACGTGCCGCCGTACAACGACGACGTGGACACGATGTTGTCGCCGGCCTGCGCGATCGTGAAAATCGTCAGTGCTTGCGCGGCTTGGCCCGAGCTCACGGCAACGGACGCCACGCCACCGGACAGCGCCGTCACACGCTTCTCGAACACGTCGTTGGTGGGGTTCATGATGCGCGAGTAGATGTTGCCGAACTCTTGCAGGCCAAACAGTTTGCCGGCGTGGTCGGCGTTGTCGAACAGGAACGACGTCGACGCGACGATGGGCACGGCGCGCGCGCGGGAGCCGGGCTCGCCGCCTTCGTGGCCGGCGTGCACTTGGAGCGTCGTGAAGTCAGACATTGTGGGGATGATGTGGTGCGGTCAACAGAAATTGATCAATGACATTTTCATTGACGATCGCAGACATGGCGTCGACGACGAAGACACAAAGACGAGGAGCTGACGAAGTTGAAGTTTATGAGTGATTCGAGCGCGATCTTACGTTGGATTGGTCGATTGAGATATCCAATCACAGGGAATCATGTCAGCTTTGCGGGAATGGGATTGGCTAGTGCTATGAAAGACACTGGCCCGAGTAGGACGTTCTACTCGTCAACATAAGCTCCAAGAAGGGTGGAGAAGCTCGGCGACCTACTCTGGCTACAACTGTAGTGTATCTCCATGGCAACTTCCCTCGAAATTGGACCAGGAAAAAAAAAAGTGGCTGTCAGGTGTAACCGTCACATCCAAACGACGGTAAAGGTCACCCACTAACTTGGATGGAATGACCATCATGGAGTTTTGACAAAGCCACTTATTACCGTACTAATTACAGTAACACGGTCGGTGCCCAAAGGGCAAGCAAACTCTGCCCCACGACGACGTGAATTTCTCAGCCTAAAACCTGGTAGCATGCGCAATCACCTGTGCATAGGAGTGTTCTGATGCTGGTTATCATGTGTCGTCTAGGGTTGCGGCGCACAGGTTGCAAGTGTTAAAAGTTTACATGAAGTAGGCTGGTAGCGACGGTCGCTTGAGCTGTTGCCGCAAAACGTGCGACAGTTCGGGGCTCGTCGGGCGCAGGTGGGGGTCGAGTGAAAGGCAGCGCTCGTACACCCAATCAGGGCATCCGTGCGTGAAATGGGGCTGGAGGGTGCCTTGCCGCACCAGCGTCACGATCTGGAAGCCGTGTTGCGGCCGATTCTTTTCGTTGTGGTAGTCGGCGATCGGGATGTCGTGGGTATCGAGTTCGCTGACGAGCACCCCGAACGAGTAGATGTCGGCTGCGACAGAGTATCGGTCGCCCGCAATCAGCTCGGGGGCGGTCCACCGGTACGTCCCCACGCCCTTGGTCATGGTGTCGTTGTCGATTTCTTTGGAAATGCCGAAATCCGACAGTTTGGCCCCCATTTCGTCGGCCAAGAGCACCTTCCTCGACTTGAGGTCGCGGTGGATAATGTCCACCGAGTGCAAATACGACAGCCCTTCCACCACGTCGCGCATGATGTTGATCTTGTCCGACCATGGAAACAGCACTGGCGATGACGACATCGTGGCAGCATGATTGTGCATCGGCGGCGGTTTCGTGGACTCCAAGTACTTGCGAAGGTCCCAGCGGTCCATAAACTCCATCACGAGCTCCATCTCCCCCGGCCGCACCCAACTGACTCCAATGAACTTTGTAATGTAGTTACGGACTGTCCAACTTGGTGAAGAGTTTGATTTCGTCGATGAACTTTTGCACGTCTTGGTTCGATTTGCCAGCGTCCGCGCTTTTCTTGACGGCCACGAGCAGGCCGCGGTAGTCCCCGACCCACACCTCGCCGTTGGCGCCCTTGGCCAGCAGCTCGTGGGACCTCAGGTCGTTCTCGTCGATGCGCCACAGGTCCAAGTGGCCCATGTCGAGCTGGAACCCTACGACTTTGTCCACGTCGTCGGCGCGGTTGAACAGCCCCATTCGGCTGTACGTGCCTTGCGACGTCTGGCACGACAGGGTGACATGGCCACTCCGTCGACTGACGATGGCATCCGACTTAAAATCGCCAAACACCATGTCTTCGGCGAGGCGACGGCGTAGCTTGGACGCCTGGTTGCGGTAAATAAAAAAGACCATGAGGCAGCCTAGGACGAAGGCCCCGCCACCGACACCGACGACAAGCGGAACGTTCGTCGACGCTAGAGAAGGGGAATCATTGGTACGACATCACGGATGGGAATTGTATGTACTACCCGACTCAGTGGACGGATACAGGGTCGTTGGCACCAGCGGTGACACAAAAGCCAGCAGCTGTGAGGGCTGCTGGAGAGTCTGGCGCGGCGGCCTGCAGTTGCACGCATCTGAGCGTGTGACGCTTATGCATGTAACTCTGGCTTGCGAGAAAAGTGATAGGGCTGGACAGCCGACGGCGGCCAGCACCACTAGCACGCGCATGGGGTGAGTGTGAATGTGCTATGATGCTAAGCTTATATTGTGCATTCACGCCAAACGACATAACAAACGCCTGTGATTGGCTACCGTCTATTGATGACGAGTAGATCGTCAGATGGTGGAAGGTTTGAGGAACTAATAGTACTACCGGTAGGTCGGCCTGTTAATATAATACCAGTACTATTGTAGGGGCCTTTTGGGAAGATGCATCAGACAGGTCATTGTAAGAGCATCTCCACCGGTTGGGACTTTTGACCAGGCTTTATACGGATAGTGTTCGGATAAATGAGAGACTTATGCTGATTCCACCGATAAGTTTCATTTTCCCCACCCGTCAGACTTTTATGCGCGGAACGAACAGGAACTGTGAAAGTGATAATGAGTGCATTTACATCAACTAACCGCTTCCGCAACTCGTCGCATTCTATTATAGAGCGAACTCGTTAACCTTTATAGCATAGGGGGTGCGCTAGTAGTAATACGAGCCTACGATGACGCGAAACTCGTGAGATTTCGCATTACCTACTGCTACGTGGAGCTTCATTACAGTATACTGGTAGAGATTAAGCGTACTGCCAACATCATCGTGATGACACTGGCATAAAAGAGAGAACTAGGTCACCAGTGTCGAGGGAAAAGTGCAACAACCACGCGCCGGGCGCGGCAGACGCGAAAAGCAGCCACGGCGTGGACAGGGCTAACCCCGCCAGCGCCAACAAGAATGTGATCGAGTACCTGCGTTTGAGCATGGTCAGCGGGTCCGACTCGGTTGGTCCGGGCTCGGTCACGCACAAGATGCCGATGGAGGACACAAACGACACGGGTGACTCGATGGCACCTTCCTTGTCGAGGGAAGTGGCGCCGATGATCTCGGCCGCGACGCTCTCAAAGAAACACGTCGGCGCTGCCCCCGAAGTAGTCGACGACCATGTCCCCAACCAAGTCGGCAATCACCGACGGGTTGCGCGGGTCGTGTTCGGGGATGCCCTGCTCGACCTTGCCGACGAGATCGGCGCCGATCTCGTTGGCATGAACGCGGCATGCAGCAGCACGTGTTGAATGCTCACGCCCGCCACGAACAACGTGACATTGAGGACGGCGGA